GCCAAAAGTAATGGTTGTGAGATTTTATGATAAAAAAAGAGCAGATTCCCTGGTGGAATCCTTAATCTACAATACTGGCACTGGGTTACTACCTTAAGACTGTGTTGTGTGAGCAAAAATAATTATTTTACTTGACTAATCCATAATTATAAAAGGCTTTTGGTATTATTGAATGCAATCATGGCTGATTTAGCTATTTCTATAAAATACACAGTAAACTAAATGTAAAATTAATAACAATATAGGGTCTTGCTGAGTTGCAGGTGCCAAGTGATTAACTAGGTTAACCTTCTAGTTAAGCAATCTATTCACGCCCTCAGCCTCATGGCCCGTGAGATTCAAATTTGTAAGACATCTAGATGTTAGGTTTCTGCATGCAAGTCTTTATAGTTACTCTTGAGTGTCAAGTCTATTTTTGCTAAGAGTCAAGTAGTTCTGGATTTTATTTAAGCACAGGAAATATGTGTTACAATTCAGAAAACACAAGAAAAAATTTAATTCCATGGCCAGAGCTCCTTTAAATGGTTTACAAATAACTCTCTGCTTACTACAACCCTAAGCTCTAGAACACACATGTTTTGCCAAATAACTTTCACTTAATTCAGGGTACTTTGTGGCCCTTAGTGGACAATTATATTTATTATACCCATAAGGGGAAAATGGGCAAAATATAACTTGTAAGAGATGGAGATGTGGATCAATGGCCCCTCAAGCATTCTTTATGGAGCCTCTGGGCCTGGAAGTCTCTCACATAGCTCTTGTCTCCTCCATTTCTGGTTGAGAAACTTCTAAAAACTAAAATGTTGATACATGATGGCCTTGGGAGGAGGTTGTGTTCTTCAGAGCAATATCTGTGATACGTCAGTGTTAGGAGCCATTCTACATAAATTTTGAGGAAAAATCATCTCATAGTTAAAGTATGACTATACCTGTCTAAGGACCATGAGCTGGCGATGGCATGTGGAAACAACTCCGTCTTGTCTCCAGTCACAGCTGAGGCCTCCATGGCCCTGTGATGCTGTGGCACTTAGTGGCAAAATAATATCAGCTGAAGACATCCTGGTTCCTTGAGAGCCCAGTAGTAATACAAAAGAGAAAGTTTCACCTGGGGAAGGACAAGTTCCTTATTAATTTAATTCATCCCACCTTCTGTGGTGGGACTGGTTTCCTTTCCCCACTGCATCAGCATGAAATTTGCATCAACATAGCATCACCGCTGACCCCTAAATCACCCAATACCCCTTCCAATTATTGTGTGTATCCAGCAAATGCTGGTTAGCTCTGAAAATCTTTGTCCCTGACACTCTGAAGCAGTGACCTCATGGCCCCCTTACACTTTGAAATTATGCAAGTCTCTATTGTCGTTTTTTTTTTTTCTTTAGCCCTTGCCAGCCCCCTTTCTAGGCAGTCAGAGGAAATCAGCCTCCTATATATCAGACCTCAGAAACGCTTTTGAACAGAAGGGTGTGTAGAGCCCATTTTCAATGATGTAACAAAATCTCTGAGGTTAGATAATGTGTAAATGAAAGAAACTTATTAAGCTTGGTGTTCTGGAGGTCCAAGAGCATGGTGGTGGCTCTTCTCAGCTCTGGTGAGAGCCCTTGACTACATTACAGTGGAAGCATAAAATAGAGGGTGAGATGGGAAGTCAGAGAGCTGTTCAGAGGCCAAGCTTGTTCTAACAACCCATTCTTGCAGACTCACTGGGGTTCCACAAGAACTACATTAATTCTTTTGGAAGCCAATGCCTCCAAAGTTCCACCGCCTCTTACCTTTGCCACACTAAGAACTAAGTTTCCAACACTTGAGTAAAACTCACACCTAACCCGTAATATTTTCCCCATCCAAGGTCCATGTCCTCTCACACTCCAAAATACAATCAATCATTTTATCCCCACTAGTTCCAAAGTCTTAACTCATTGTAGCATCATTCAAAAGTAAAAGTCCAAAGTCTTTCCTATTGTGAGCCTATTAAAAAAAAATACTAAGTTATCTACTTCCAAGATACATTGGCAGCACAGGGATAGGATAAATGTTCCCATTTTTGTTTTTTGTTTTTTGAGACAGGGTCTCCCTGCTCTGGAACTCACTATGTAGGCCAGGGTGGTCTCAAACTCACAGCGATCCTCCTGCCTCAGCCTCCCAAGTGCTGGGATTACAGGTGTGCACCACCACGCCGGGCTAAATGCTCCCATTTCTAAAGAAAGAAATAGGGAAGTAGAAAGGAGTAAGCAGCTGGAAGCAACAATAATACCTAGCAGGGCTGACACTACATGTTCAAGTTCCAAATCCACCATCCTAACACACTGAGGTTGGCTTGGCTCCCACCGTCTGGGGTAGCCCTGACTCACGGCTTTGTCGCCCACATGAGTGCTGTCTCGGCCAGCATGGCCATGTCCTTAGCTTGCTAAGACTGGTGTTGCATGCTGCTGTTTTCTCCACCTCTCTGGCATCTCAGTTATGAACCCAACCATACAGTCCCACCCTGCGTCACCCCACTGGGGGCGCTCTGTGGCATTCCAACTCTATACCAAAGTTCTGCCTGGCTTTCCTGCTTTCTTTTGAAATTCTGATGGGTGACACCATGCACCCACAGAACCAGCACCACATGAATGCCACCAGTGTCTGTTGTTGGCATGAGGTGGGCCTGCTTCACTTACAATTATAGAAGCCAAGGAGCTTTTTGCCAGAAAGCAGGGAGCTGTATTCTGAGGAAGCCCTGGGCAGCAAGATGAGGAAGATTGCCTGGGCATTGTTCCCTGAAATGATACTGTACTGGGCTTCTTGTCCAGTGATAGGAGCTCAAATATTTTTGAGATGCGTTTGATGAATTCATCATCCATGCTAATATTTTTACAAAATGCTTTTTTGCTCACACCCGTGCATTTCCTCTTCTCCTCCCCCAATAAGACTGTAGAAATATTTCTGCTGTGTCCTTTGCTTCCAGGCCTCACTGTAATTCTCGCTAAAAGCGGGCAATAATAGCCCACTTTGCCCTTCAGAAATTTTTTGCTAAATAGCTTAAGCCATAGCTTGGAAATTTGGCCTCCCATGAAACTCTAGGGCATCAATCAACACGATGCAATCAAGTTCTTTACTACTTCTAACAAGGATGGCCTTTTCTGCACTTTCCAGTAGGGCTGACACCCTTTTCCATCTGAGACTTGCCCCCAGTCTCTTCATCTTCTGAACTCTCACCAGAATCACCCATAACACGCTTACAACACTCTAGCCTTCTCTTAGTCTTCTCCTCCAAGTTCTCCGAACCTCTGCCCATTACCCAGTTCCACGCTTTGGCATCGATTTCCTGTATGAGTCCATTTTGCATGGTTGAATCACAATACTCAAGGAATGGTACCTTAGAAGAGGTTTATTCAGCTCTTTGGAAGCTGAAAGTCCAAGATGGAGTCACTTCACGTATGTGGCCTCTGAGGAAGGCCTCATGGCAGCTGGTGATTTGATGAGAGGCCTGCATGTAAGAGGCAGAGATCACACAGTCAGACAGGAAACCCAAGAGCAGTTTATAAAATGCCCCCTTGCAAGAACTAAGTTGGGTCCTAACAGAGCTACATTAATCTCTTCCAGGATAGTATCCTCATGATCTGATCACCTTTCAAAAGTCTGGCCTCTAAACATATAAGAACTTTTGGGGGACATTTAAAATCTAAATCATAACAGCAATCCTTCTTTAAATAGTCACAGTAAATGTTAGCTTATTAAAGATATTGAAGAGTCTCATGGGAGAAACACCTGTTAATTTTTATTTTTAGCTCAGCGGAGTTCACAGAGCTCACTTCTTACTTAATGCTTATTTCCATAGAGAAGTTTTGAAATGCTGCTTTAGAATATCATTGGGATCTGTTTGGGGAAAAAAATCTAGTTGAAAAAAATTGACAAAGTTTTCATAATTCCAATTTTATTTCTTTATATTTTGTTTTTCAACCTTAAATTGTTTTTGCTCATTATTAATCTCACAGACATTAGATAGAACAACACTAACTGGCAGTGTAAATTCAGTCACATCAACTTCATTTTCTCTCCTTGAACTGAGATTATTTGCTGAGAGTTTCCAGGTTTCTTCTGCATTTAGAAAAAAAAAATCTGTATTTTACTCTGTGTTCAACAGAGGGCTTTCATTTATTTAAAGAGATCTCTTTGAGTGCTTTCTTCCAATTAGTTGTACAAACAGCACTGCTGTCTACCTCTACCTCAGTGTGGAAATGCACTGGGATAATAAATCACTTCTTCTTTGCAGAAGTGTTTGTCCTTATTTTCGACGCTGAGGAAAGCTACAATTAACACATGTGAGCTATCTATTAACACGGTCTGCAGGGCGTTGGAAATGATGAGGATTATGGGTCCGGATAATAGAGATCAGTTTATTCTCAACACCTACTGCAAACAGGTCAAGTAAAAAAGGAAACAGACTTCTCCACCAATAATGAAAACAACACTACCTAGAGCCAGCCGGCCCACAGAGATCATTGTTAATAGAGCAGGTCAGAATTACTGAAATCTTTCTCTCTACATTTTTTGGAATTGCATGTATCTATTCTATAAAGTAGGCAGGGTATCTAACAGGAGATGGACTACAGGCTTTCACAAAGTTTTTAACTACTACTCTCACTACATTTTAAATTTCTTGGGTTGGTCTTTCATTTAGACATTTTTTAAGCAGATTGCTTTTATTTTGTTCATTTGACAAACATTTACTGCATGGGATTTGTTTTTGCTTTAGTTTGTTTGTTTGTTTGTTTGTTTTTTGCAAAGCCTCATTTCAGAAATTCTGATAGTATGGCAGATTGTGTTTTCCAAATCAACCATAAAATTAACTCCCATCCCACATAGCCTTAAAGTCCAACTTTAATACTGCTGTGTATTCCCTTTTCCTTGAAAGTGGATGTGCTCTTGTGACTAACAGAGTATGGTGGAAGAATCTTTCCAGGATGATATAGTTTCCACCTTGTTTATAGCAGTTCTTTCTTGAAACTTTCAGGACTATGTAAGCAGTTTTCCTGCCCTGAGGCTGTCATGCTGAGATGAATCCTATAGTAGCCACTGTGCAGACCAGCCTGAGGCTCCATGAAGACTGACAGAGACAGAGTGGCCACAGCTGATGCAGTCCCCACTGCCACTGCCCCTGGTCTAACCCTAAGCCAGCGCTGCCCCCCAAGCTCTTCCCACCACACCTGTAAGTTGAAATAAGCTAAGTCTCCCATTCTGTGGGCCCTTGTTCCAGGGACCATCTTGAAATGGAAGCATTTCCTGGATCACATACTTTGCCTAGGTGTTTGGACCTCCAGAGTAGCGGTTCTAAAAATATATCTTAGAGTATACTGTTTCCAGGAGATATCTTGAGAAAAGAAAAGTAAAACAAAAAAGAAATTTAGAATGAAATAAAATTTATTTACTGTTTTTATGCAATGCACATTAATATATTAAAAGCTTTGATAAATCTAGTAATTATGAAATACACATAATTTTGGTTACTTGAGTGTTTCATAAAACTTTTGAACATAGAGACTCCCTTATCTCAACTTCTTCTATTTTGCGGGTTGTTGTTCTTATTTCATAAAATTCTTATTAGAATATTTTGTTCCTTTAGGAACAAAGAGTGCTAAAATAAAGGAAGTTTCATCTCCTGTTTCAAGCACTCTTAATTTGGTTTACTCTTTGGAGTTATCTGAAAAAAATAATATCTATAGTAAATTCTAAAGCATAGGCATGTTGTGAGATAATCAGTGAATGACAGTGTTTCTTTCTGTTTCCTCGGAGAAATAACTTTAGCCCTTCAAAGGTAGTACCAAAACACACCTCTCAGTCTTGCCACATGTGGTGGGCCTGCCCCAAACCATGTTCCTACATAAGGAGCCCCAATAGAAACTAAACTTGGCCAAAATCTCCTTTTTGCTGGAGTCTGCTGGCTTAGACACTGACAACCATTGGATAAACTGAAAAGGTAGAAACATGCAGGGTATAAACCCTTAACATCTAGATATGAACTTCCTGAGCTCAAATCCCATTGTAGTACTTATTAATTGCTTCTTCTAGATACACCACTTGATTTCTTGTGTTTCAGTTTTCTACTTTAGAATGGGTACATAGAAGTAGCTGCAGACTAAGATTATAATGAATATTAAATAACTAATATGTGGAATAGTGTTTACAATTGCCTTGGTAAGGGTTAGACGCTCTTACATATTTATAAATATAGAAGTAGATGTAAAATTGAAGTGATAGCTGGACTCAGTTTGTACCCAAAATATCCAAATATATTTGAGGAAAAATTATTACAGTGCTGTCTTATGTTTTCTTTATGGAATGATGTCAATTTTTCATTGGTCGCTAGCCCTAGCCTCAGAAGTGATACCGCCACCACAATCTTCTTGAGTCTATTGACTTCCCGATTCTGACCTTTCAGAATCTCCAAGCCTTGGGAGGCCTAAAGAATCAGATACACTTCTCAGTCTTCCGCTGATGGATTTTTTAAACCCTAACAGAGCAAGGTGATGTCTTTCTAATGCATAATGATTTGGCTTAATAAGGGGATAGTTGGCTGAGACTGGTTATCACCATAGATAAGCCCTTATGTAAAGTTGGTAGGGTGCAAACTGGGCACCATGGAATTTCACAAAGTTGAAACTAGGGCAAAGCTCAACATGCAGGATGAGCCCGAAGAATTTACTCCGCACAGTGGTTATTAATATCTGCTAAGAAATCTGACCTTTGTTGCTGTAAACAAGAACAGATAATTATATGGTCTTTCAAAGAGAGCAACTCTGAGATCAAAACTGAGGCATTTTTCAAAAGAGATTGGAAAGTTATTTGTATTAAAATGAGACATAGAGAATTTATTTTAGTATTTGACAACTTTGGCTCTTGTCGCGAAGGATTTGATAGTTTAGGTAATGATGATAATTAGCATTCTTGTCCATAAGGGCTCTTACTCTTTTGTTTTCTAGAGGAGAAGGCTTAAAGAAATGTACATATAGCTTTTGGGAAGGACATATTTTTCCCACATTTTTGGATAGTTTTGTTCTTTCCCTAACCTCAATTGTTTACCCAAGGTGAGGGAAACTTTTGTGTCTTACAATCACCATTAAAGGCAGCCATGGACAAATAAGGTAAGGCCCCTGTAGCACTGGAAACTTTTTTTTTCCACCAGGGATTCACAAGCAGGTGAAAAAACAAACCCTCAAGGGAGGTGTCAATCCCAGTTTGTTTATAGTTACAGACTTACAAGACAGTCCAGTTGTCCCTTTCTGCTCTGGAAGATAAGAATTTTTTCAGGGAGGCAGTTCATCAGAATGACCATTTAAACAAATTCTTCTACATCTTGTTTTCCCCCATTTTAGTTGTATACATAAGGACACACGGATTGACATGTAAATAGTGCAATGTACATAAATGAAATGAGCAAAAAGGATCACTCATTTCCAAGCCAACATTCATTTTTTTCTTCAAGGTTACATCATGTCTCTTCAACTTTTTTTCCATTCTTGTCCTTTCCAGTGAAGATCAAAGTTAGTATCAAATCATTAAATAGCTATTTTCATCCATATTAAATACTCAGCAGGGTACCAGTTCTATGTTACCGTATAAATGGACCCTTAAGTTATGGCCAGCCATACATACAAATAAATTGGGAATTTTAATTTTAACTTATGAACAAAGTCTTGAGTTATAACCAGAATACTAGCCATTTGTGCTTCCAGAGGGTCTCAGATACAGATTTAACCCTTAAAGAGTTCTGGAAGGAACATTACAATATCTTTCCTGTGTGGGGTTAATTGAGAAATCCTGGGCCAATGTCTCTCTATGGACACTGAGATCTGCCAGTATACAGCCAAGAGACTTTGAAGGCTGTGTAGAGGAGCCTGAGCCTTCAATTGACCGACCTGAGTTACAACCAGCCCTCAAGAATAAACTGAGTTCATAATTCAAGGGTCCACTGTATTATTACAGAACTGGACCTTAGAAGCTTGAACCATGATATGGTGTTTGTAAGGAAATGAGGGCAAAGATCTTCAGTGGCTACAAAAGGCCAGGCAACCTATTTTGTGTTGCATGTGTGACATGAAGGGTTATAGGAGGAGAATCCCTCTAATTGGGATCAAATACAAAATTAAGTAGCACTATATTATTTAAAAAGCACAGCAAGGCTCTGAGGAAAAGCCTGTAAGTTATACACATTAATTGACAAATGAACTAATTACTATTCAAGTAGAGTGTGAAACTACTTCAAGGTGAATTTTCCAGATGATTTAGGAAGTGAAATCTGAGCAAGATTCAATAAGGTTCAATAAGAAGGTCAGTAGCAGATTTTAAGGCAGGTGGAATGAACTAGGCACCAACTGGGCCGTTGTTGAATACCTGGTATGTTTCATAAAGTGAACCTTTCCATTCCAGCTGAGATTTAGTATGAATGTGGTCAGGGATGAGGCTGGAAAGCTGACTGAGGTCAGATTGTCAATAGACTTTAAATTTCAAACCAAAGCCTTTGGGCATCTATTTTTCTGGATAATGGAAAACCAACAAAAGTTATTAAACAAATAGTTCAAAATAGTTTGCAATCAAATCTAGTGTGAGAATGAAACAGAAGACTTGCAGCTCTTCAATTTAATCATGGGTAGTAGCTTGATTGCTCGCAGCCATGGGCATTCAAAGCAAATTTCCCAGGCTTCCTTCCAGCCTGGCAGGCAATGGGGAGGAGCAGCTGGGACTGAATGGAGACTGTGTGATTTGCGTGCGCACAGACCTGGCTTCCAGTGACGTCTCAGCTGCTTTTTCTTGTTGTTAAACTCTGAGCATTTACTTAACTCTTCTGATACTCATTTTCCCCGGAGTAAAGTGAAGATCCAATATTGACCTATTAGGGGTAACTAGAAGTGATATTTGAGTTCCTGGATCATAGTGTGTACTCAGTGAAATGACAGCTGTTTCTAGTTTCATTGTAAATATCACCATTATCAGTTATCTTGCTTACAAGCTTAAAAACTGTGGCTGAATCAGTTCTGATTTATTAACCAAGCTTTTACGCCCCTCTTCCAAATGCTTATGGAACAAGATTGGATTGCAGAAGAACAAAGCCATTGTTACAGATGAATGTCAGCCCCTTCTAGGTGGGGGAATAATGGCTTGTCTCAAAGTAGGAGTGGTTTGCTATCCACAGGAAAGAGCATCTGGAAGCCGATATTTTCACTGATCCTCATATCCTGGTTTGATCTTTTCATCCCCAGGGATACAGCAAGTGGCTGACTAAACCTCAAGAAGTGAGAGTTCTCCATGGGTAAATCAGCCGGGGGGGGGTAAGAGCCCCCAGGGGCTACGTCTGCTCTGCTCTCACCTCCAGGGAGCTCTGGAGAAAGCAGCTCAAGTGCTGGCTTCAACTTCTGGACCTACAAAGCAAGTGGGCATCTGAGTATAAGCTGCATAGACTGTGAGCTGTGCAGGGTTTCTTTGGGGACTGAATGAGCCATTGTGTTGGGAAATTCTAATTTCACAAAAGCCCTTACTACACGGTGGTGGCAGCAATTATTCCCTGCTCTCCCTTCTTTTTTTCATCCTTCCGTCCCCTCCTTGATTTCTCCTTCAAGAGCCATGCTGTAGTGCAACCCACAGAAGCTGGATAGGAATGAGAAATTCTTGCTCCTTCTCACCTCCAGTAACATCAGCTATACAACTACATGGCTCCCCTCCCCTCCCCTCCCCTCCCTTCCCCTTCTCTCCTCTCCTCTCCTTTCCCAGAGGTCACAGTCAAATCAGGAAGTGTGTTAGTCACCTATAATACAGATATACCCTTACACAGTGACGCGAAGATACTCTTGACAAGGACAAAGCAGAATGAAATAGTTGAGAATGAATTAAGTCTTCTTTGGAACCTAAAGAAATGTGAAACTGAAATGGGCATTAGGGAAAAGATAAGATAGGAAAAAATCTCAAAGAAGGAAAAATAGAGAATAAAAAAGAATAAATTGTAGGAAAATATTTTAAATAAGTACTTAATTTATTAACCTGAGAATGGTACTTTTAAGTCAGCAGCTCTTATAAATTCACAATATTCTGAGAAATAGATTAGCTATATTCCTTATTCAGATATTACTACTTAAAAAGAAATTTTAAAGCTATGTATTCTGGTGTCTTGTGGGAAATTTTTACTTTGTTATTTAAAATCAGTTGCTGAAAAGAAAC